TGCAGCTGACTATAGAAGGCCTCATCAACTTCCTCATCCTGATCAGGTGGCCTGTAGCAGACACCCACCACAGTGACTCCCACGTTAGCCCACTCTCTAACCCTTACCCACAAACTCTCAACTTGCTCCTCATCCACCCCCAGGCTGAGCTCCATGCATTCCAGTTGCTCTGTCACATGAAGACCAACTCCACCACCTCTCCTTCCCAGCCTGTCATTCCTAAAATGCACATAGCCTTCCATGACAGCACTCCAGTCGTGTGAGCTATCCCACCATATCTCTGTAATTCCAATGAGATCATGATGCTGGGACCACACACAAGATCTCCAGTTTATCCTGCTTATTCCTCATGCTTCGCGCATTGGTGTACAGGCATTTCGGGGAAGTAAATGAGCCTGCAAAACAGGTTTCAAACAAAGATTTTTTTTTTGAAACTTCATACAGGAAGAAGCTTTTTTTTTTTTTCCAGCCTAGATTTAACTGTTGCAGAGATCTGTGCTGTTGGTTTTAAAGAAACACGCAGAGCTAACTCACAGAAGTTCTCTGTAGAGGTTTTCTCACTGACTATTGAAACAGAAATGGGGATGTGGACAGCCTGGTGTGTGGCCATGTTATTTCTCGGTGCAAGTAAGGCATCAGCTAAGCCATTTTCTCTGTTTTTCTGCTTGGAGAATGTAGCTTATTTGTTTTACTGTGTTTATTTCTTTTGCTTTGTTTCATAGGAGCTAAAATCACCCAAACCTTAAGTCTGGTACTGAAAGAAGATGAGAAAGCTACGCTGTCATGCATTCAAAATGATAATCACGTTTATATGTCTTGGTATCTACAGAAGCCAGATAAAGGCCTACAACTGATTTATTATTCTACTGGTGTAAAGCAGGAACAAGAGGGTGATATTCACAGTGGATACAAAGCTAACCGGCTGAACCTCACAGACTTCTATTTGGATATTTTAGCTGCAAAGATAAACAACTCAGCCATCTATTTCTGTGCCAGTAGTTTGGACACAACACTTCAAAGTCACTTGTTTTCTTTACATAAACCTTTAGCCTTCCTTCAGAAGAGAGTATCTCCCAATTCCTCAGCAGGAGGAGTATGTAGGCCAATAGCCTATGTATAAACCAATTATTGCTGAGAAGTTGGAGCAAGAGAGGTAAAGTAGGCTCCTGAATTGCACTGTATTTACTGATCTCTTGTTCCCGATCAGTCATTGAATCTATATTCCATCAGAACAGCTATTAAAGATTGTTAATTTAATACTGACATAAAAAAAATGGAAGCTGCAATCTCCACACAACAAATCAATTCCCCTCAAATCAATTTTCCTTACCTGATAGAGAACAGTTAATTGAAATATGCATGTGTGTAAGTCTGAAATGCTTTGGAATTAGTGACTTGTACGTGTGCTCTCATTCCTGTCTAAATATTACCAAGCAGTGAAAGTCACAATACTTTTCACTGCAAATGGAAAGGTTACCCTACCACAAGAAATCAATACCTATATAAAACTCAGAAGTTTATCAACAATAATGAGAAGAGGCTTGTAGAAGAGATGATATAAGGAATAATAATAATAAAAAAGCCTTAGTAGAACTAAGGTTCTACCAATTGGCTTAAAATAACAAAACAGCAGCCATTGCTCTGGCTTGTAAGTGCATAGCCATGGTTTTAATAAGTGACCATCCAGTTTACTTCTGGTTATATAATGAATCACATAGCACCATCTATCCCTGTATGCTTCCTACTTATATCTCCCTTTCGGCTTGATAGCCTACAACATGGTCCATTTCAATTTAATTTATTCTTTCTCTCTATGATGACCTCTTGCATTGTTTATCCTAGATATCCTTGTGATGCTCCTTTCTCAAAGTCACAGAGTTCTTTTTGACTTTGAGCTGGGCCCTAATATGAGCATTGCCCAAGACAGCATCTGTATTTTGGAGACAAAAAATAGACAAGTGAACAAGCAAGTTATTACTACTGTATGATGTCTCCACAATGAAATGTTTCAGACTCATCATGAATAGTCTTATGTCTCCTATGCACAAAAACTTCTCAGTGTTTTCTTCAGTTAAGGAGCCTAAAGCAGCATTATCCCAAGTGGTATCATTGATGCAGTAGGATTAGCATAGGGTGTTCCAACAAGTCAGAGGTTTTGGAGAAGCCTTAAAGAAAGGATATAAAGCATAACTGTTACATAGTTGCAGACAGAGCATCCATATTTGAAACTATTGTTATCTCAGTTTGGATCGAGAGACCTCCAGATGTTTCTTTCCATTTAAACTTTTCTATGAGTCTATGATTATTTTTCATCTTGCTTTTGATTTTGGAGAGATGTAAATCTCTCTTTTTTTTTTTTTTTTTTTTTTTGAAAGCAGGTCAGCAACCTGCTTTCTGCTGCTACCTGCAAAAAACCACAAGATTTTAATTTTATTTTGTGTGTGACAACAGAAACAGCAGCTGCACATTCAGAAACCAACTGCAGATTTCAGAAACAAAAAGATTGTGCGATAACAAAAAAACACCAGGTTTCATAAGGCACATATGTGTCACTACTTTGGCTGACTGTGATAAAGTAGGCAGATAGCTGTTCCCCATGTTTCATCCTGACTGGCTGGGGTGGTACTGTGGTAAGATGTGCTGATAAGTTCTCAAAATGTTTTTTTGAGTAAATGTCAAACCGCATCCTGTTTTGGCTAAACTCGACTGTTGCTCTTGTAAAGACGTATTTTCAAGTGCATTTAGTCATGTCATCTACACTGTTCTAAAGGTACCATTTTCTGCTGAGGCTTTCAGACATATTTCCCCCCTTGGCTTCAAACTGGTTATTTTAGCCAGATATTAACTCTATGTCTCTCTTTGCTATTCCATTTCTAAGTGGTCATGTATCTTGGCCTGCATGTATCTTGGTCATGTATGTTTAGGATACATCTCTACGTGCAAGGTATGCTTCTGTTGTCTTTGTTTATTAGTGAGTGAGCTACCTATGAATCACCTGTTGTTTAACTGTTAGTACAAGGTATTAGTTTAATGAGTTACAAAGGTACTGCTGCTATTCATGTTGGCTGCTACAACTCTTAGTTGCTACCTCCCTAGTATTTCATCTTCCTCCATTCTGCCTTCCATTTAAAAAATGATAGGTCAGAACGAACTCTTGTAAAAAAAATGAGTTTCTTTTACTTTTCTGCTGTCCTCATTCTTTCCCATGGGTCCACAGCATAACAGTCAGTAGCACAATACTTCTATTTGCTTTAAACGGTACTATCCAACAGGGGCCATATTATTGTAAGTGTTTGCAAGTCCAAACACTGTTCAGGGAGTGGACAATCATGCCTATCTTTTGAATATGCTGCTTGCTTATTTTCATTGTCTGCCAAATTCAAGAACATAACGAGCTCTCAGGTCTGTCTTTTATTTTTTTATCCTTGCAGAGAACTATGTGTTGCAATGGGACAGAAAGGTCAAGCTTTTTAGTCATTCATTTCTGGCTTTCTACTGGCCAGAAATGGATGACTAAGAGAGCTAGAGCATTACATTTCCTGCATCAAAACTGAAAGATAAAAGCAGAAATTAATGCGTGAGGGACATATGGTATCACAGAGAGTCTTCCTTTTACGATGAGTAGGTCATCTAAATACATTGCGAAAAGCCGGGCTCAAGAGCCAGGTTTTCAGTTTCAGAGGCATAGATATACTTCATTTCTGTATTAGCAGGAAGTGTTAGGTACTTTATCTCAGTGCTATTCCAACAAGCAGGGACTAACTCTGTTCACTTATATATTCTTCCAAAAGCCAATTCAGATCATTCAGTTCTTGGAGAACTGCAAGAGACAGGGCAATATTTTCTATTTTGGCTGATAAAGAAAAACACTGAGAATGCAGAATACAAACGAAGGAAGCTTAAATCTAATTTAAATTTTATTAAAAGCTGGTTTTTAAAACAAGCAAAAAACCAAATGTGGTTTCCCACATTTATTGGAATAAAAAGCTTGTTTCTGAAGCAAGTAAAGAAATGTGTACAAATGTGTACAAAGAGTTGAGCTTTCCACTTGCAGCGTATCTCCACCCTCTTCTTCAGGCCTGATCTTTCAAGGCAAAGCACATCTAATACATTTTCTAAAGACAAAAGGAAGAAAAACAGAAGTTAAGGATGAGCCACTGAGAAATACTGAGGCCCAGGTAATGGTCATTATGTATGTGAATCTCTGAGAGATAAAAGGGAATGCAGTCCATCTGATTTCAATTTGTAATGCAGATGTATGACTTACTTAGATTCATTTGCAACAAAAATATTAAAGCAATTTAGAACACAGCTAGAGAGAAAGAGATTGTTTGTGTTTTAGTGGGTTGATGATAGGAAGGTAGGAAGAGATGAAGGGAGGGAAACTGATAGGACAAGAGAGAAGAAGAAAGGAAGGAATGAAGGAAGGAAGGAGAAAAGAAATCAAGAGAGTAATTTTGCTTTTCTTTTCTTTATATTATTAGAAAACAAGGGCAACAATTTTAATTAATGTGAGTCCCTTGGGCAGAAATTACTGACAGTGTATGTGTAAAGTTAATGGTGTTTTTATTACTTGAATGACTACCAATGAAAAGAAGGAAGCTAATAAAATTATGTCTTTTCCATTATGAATGTCTCAGACTCCTATAGCTACAAACTTTATTTACAATAGTGGAATTCAGTACTGCTTACTCAACTAAAAAGTCCCGTAGAGTGAAAAGAAATTTTACTTTTTTCGTTTATCTAGTCACATTTCAATAGAAATGGTCTCCATCCTATCCTGCACCAATTCTTCATGTGTTAAAAAAAAATGAACCATCAAAATAGATCCAAGTTTTTGATAAACAAATAAATAAATGCTTCCCACAAATGCAGTCTTAAGGAAACAATCTCCTTCATGTTCTTCCCCTCCTTCTCTCTCTTCCTCTTTCCTGATAGTTTACATTCTCTTCCCCTTTCCCTTTTCTGAGTTACAGCATTTTACTTTCCTCCTTTGCTTCTCTTCTCTTGATCTTTCCTAATTTTTTTCTGAATTTTCCCTCCTTCTTCTCTCTCTTGTCTTTAAATAAACCATACTTTTCTGTGATATTTCATTCTTTGTATAGTGTGATATCTCCCTGGCATTCCTTCTCTCACTCTTTTTCTCTAAAGCTCTTGTTTTCATCCTCACTGTCTTGTTCTCTTAAAAATGAGGAAACATGCAATAAAATTTTTAAAGGGCTGGGCTTATATAAACATTAATGGAAGACTTCATTTTGTCCACACTGGTCTCCAGTACAGTTAGAATGAGTCAGCAAAGTTGTACAGAGCAGAAGTAGTACTCTGTTTCTCACCTTGGACCTGAGTATCAGTCCAATCACAAATATCCCATACAACATGCTCTTGAAAATGAGCATAATGTACACAATCTTCCCAGCTATAGCACTTCTCTGATAGTTTTCTGAAAAGTAAAGGAGAAAAGAATAAAAACAAAAAAACCTTCAAAATACAGACATTTCTTTAGGAATTTTTTTCATCCTGCTGATTAGAACAACTAGTGCAATGGCAACATATGAAATCCACCAGTCTCATGGAATGTTATGTGAGAGTAACAGAAATCAAAGTTCACACTCATGCATGTATATCCAGCTAGCACATGAATGCATGGGTCCACACATACACAGTCCCACAGCTTTACACTCAGGCATGAATAGTAGTGTCTGACAGGAAAAACAACAACAAAACCCCACACATAGGACACTGACACACATACACAAAAGCACATCTCTCTCCACATGTGTACATTGATTTCAAGGGAGGAAAAGTTCAATGGTTTAGCTTACCTTTGAAGATAGCACAACCTGAAAATGGAAGGAAAGAATAGGAGTTATTATTTGAGCCCACACATATATCAGCTCCTCTTCGAAAGAGCTCTGTGTAATTAATGGCCTCAGGTTGTGCTAGGAGAGGTTTAGGTTAGATATTAGGAAGTATTTCTACACAAAAAGAGTGATGAAGCATTGAAATAGGCTGCCTAGGGAAGTGGTAGAGTCATCATCTATGGCAGTGTTCAAGAAACATGTAGATGAGGCACTTAGGGATATGGTTTAGGCATGGTGTTGGAGGACTTATGGTTGGACTCAATCATCTTGAAGGTCTTTTCCAACTGTTATGATTCTATGTGTCTATGTGGGAATGTGAGGATAAGAATTACATGGTTCTTACCCAGTTTGGAGAACCGAATTGGATTCATTTTCTAGGGACAGATCTGAGTTAAGCATAGTAGGCTGGCAAGAAATGTGCCTTCAGTTCTGATTGCATGCCCTAGGGATAGGAACTTTCAGATAATGACTTTCCCCCACACACCCAAATATATTTGTTTTGTTTCCTCACCAGCATCACCAATGATGAACTTGTGTATTGATTCCAGTGTCTCATTCTTAAAGAACGTGGCAACACACTCAAAATGATTCAAAGGGTTGAACCATTCCTGGGATGAGATCCTCAGTCGACTGGTTAACGAGTAGGTACTGCCATTCCACGTGGCAGACTCATCAGTCCCCACCCCTTCTGTTCTCTGAGCGCCGTTCACTTTCCAGACTAGGCTGAGGTAGTTAGGAAAGAAACCAGAAGCCAGGCAAACCAGTGTGGCCTTGCTCTTTTGTTGTATCTCTTGTTTTGATGGTGAAAAGATGGCTACAGCTGGTGGTATGATTTCATCATTCTTCTCTGGAATAGAAAGAAACATTGCACAGAGCCTCCATTATTTCCTTTACCCTCTTCATCCAGACTGTTTTTTTGTTTGCTTGAATCTGTATATTGGAAGTTGGGATCCAATGCAACTGTTAGCACTGAGAGTGCAGGATCATGATTTTTAATCTAAAAAACAATTACATTTATATTACATTCTGAATACAGTATGGTAAATAGTATATTCTAAATATGTTATTCTGTAATTACTATTTTCATTGAAATTAATAGACTATAAATACAGACTCTGGTTCCATATTTTAATATATAAAGGTACAGAGTAAGTACAAAACTTTGTTTCTGGATACTTACAGTTTTTCCTGGTTTTGATTTCTGTCTCATTTGGTTGTCTCCTTCTCCCCTCTTTCCCCATTATTTTGTTAGGAATCCAGTGAAAATATTTTAAATGTGAATAGTTGGATACTATGGTGGTCAGCTGAGAGATGTCATAGTAAGGATGTCATGACGTTTAATGACTCCAACAAGTGCAGTCAGAAACCAAATTGAAATTTACAATAGAGAGTATAAACTTTATTTAACTGAAATTAGTGGAAGACTTGTCACTCATTTCAATGAAACTAGCATTTTCTCTCTCTCTCTCTTTCTTTTTTTTTTAAAATTCCTTTCCTATATTCTGTAGTGTAGATGAGCATCACACCTAGTAAGTGAAGTTGCCTGCATCTAATTTGATAAAAATGCATTTTATCACAGTTTTCCTGTGATTGGACAAATAGACCACTTTTCCTTAAACTGCTATTGGATCCTACTTTGTGAAAGCAGAAAACCTGTCAGTAAGGGAATACACAGATGATATCGCACTATTTGCAACTGTGATTTGTTTCTCTTCAGCAATATATTTTTGACCAAAGACAGAGCACAATGGATTCATTCATTCATGCACGAAGCTTCCTGTGATTGGACAAATAGACCACTTTTCCTTAAACTGCTATTGGATCCTACTTTGTGAAAGCAGAAAACCTGTCAGTAAGGGAACACACAGATGATATCGCACTATTTGCAACGTGATTTGTTTCTCTTCAGCAATATATTGTTTTTGACCAAAGGCAGAGCACAATGGATTCATTCATTCAT